GGGGGCGGAGGAGGAGGAGGAAAATGAATAGGAGGAGGGACCCACACCAAAACTATTTCCGGAGGAATCCTGAGGAAGTCCTCAGGATCCTAAGGGATCCTAAGGATCCTGAGGAATCCCAAGGACCCTAAGGAATCCGAAGAATCCTCAGCAATCCTGAGGAATCCTAACGAATCCTAAGGAATCCTGACGAATCCGGAGGAATCCCATGGAATCGAAGTACTTCTGAAGAAGACAGAAGTACTTCTGAAAAAGAAAGAAGTACTTCTGAAGATCCCATGGTTGTAATTGGTCCCATTCCTGGTTGCAAGTCGCTCCGAACGGTTGGAATTGGGACCAGTCGGTTGTAATTCGTCCCATTTCGGGTTCGAACCCCTCCGCCTTTCTTCCTTTACTTCTCCTCTCTCCCTCTCCTCGGGCCGGCGCCTGCGTCGGCGGCGGCTGGCGGCGGCGGCGGGGACGACGATTTATTTTTCTGGGCCGGCGCCGGCGCCAGCGCCTGCGACGGCGGGCGGCGGCGGCGGGGAGCGTCGATGAGGACGACGGTGCCGACGATGACGACGACGACGCTCCGCCACCGTGCCTTGGTTTTGGGTCAGAGTCCTAATGGATGCCCCTTGGGGTCTCGTCGGAGGTTTCTCGGGGGCCTCGGAAGGGCATTTGTGCAGCCTCCTGGGCGCCTATTGGGCGTCTCGTGGGGCCTCCCTGAGGTGGTGGTGGAGGTGGTGGGCTGTGGTGGTGGTAGTGGTGGTTGTTGTGGCGGCGGTGGTGGTGGTGATGTGTCAGGAGGGGAAAAACACAAAGACACAACCAATCGTCGATCCCAGAACATATGGGGAAGTATGGGAAGAGGAGGACAACAAAAATGAAAATATGGGAAAATCTGTGGGATCCTGCCATTTGTGTCTCTTTATTTGTGTGTCCCAGGGCCCCTTCCTTCAATGTGGTTGGTGGTGGTGGTGATTGTTGTGGTGGTTGAGGTGGCAGGTTGTGGTGATGGTGGCGGTGGTGGTGGTGGTGGCGCGGTGGTTTCTGGTGGTGATGGTGGTAGTCGTGGCGGTAGTGGGTTTAAGGTGGTGGTGGCGGCGGTGGTGGTGCGGTGGTTTGTCGTGGTGGTAGTGGTTGTGGAGGTGGTGGTGGTGGTGGTGGTGGTGGTGGTGGTGGCGGTGGTGGTGGTGGTGGCGGTGGTGGTGGTTAATTGCGGTGGTGGTGGTTGTGGTGGTAGTTGGTGGTGGTGTTGTGGTGGTTTGTGGTGGTGGTGCTGGTGCTGGTGGGTTGTGGTTGTGGTGGTGGCTGTGGTGGTTGTTGCGGTGGTGGTGTGGTGGTGGTTTGTTGTGGTGGTGGTGGTTGTGGTAGTGGGCGGTGGTGGTGGTGGTGGTTTGGTGGTGGTGTGGTGGTGGTTTGTGGTGGTTGTGGTGGTGCGTTGTTGTGGTGGTGGTGGAGGTGGTTTGGTGGTGGTGTGGTGGTGGTTTGTGGTGATGGTTTGTGGTGGTGGTGGGTTGTGGTGGTGGCGGTGGTTTGTGGAGGTGGTGTTGGTGGTGATTGTGGCGGTGGTGGTGGTGGCGTGGTGGTTTGTGGTGGTGGTGGTGGGGGGGGGGGGGTGGTAGTTAGTGTGGTGGGTTGGTGGTGGCGGTGGTGGGTTGAGGTGGCGATGGTGGTGGTAGTGGTGGTGCTGGTGGTAGTGGTGGTAATCGTCGCTGCGTCCCCGCCGTCCGCGCCGTTGGCCGCCGCCAGCGCAGGCGCCGGCGCCGGCGCGGGGAGGGGAGGGGGTTGACCCCCCCACCCCCACCCCCTGGGCTGCCTCTGTTCATCGTCGCTGCGTCCCCGCCGTCGGCGCTGCTGGCCGCCGCCAGCGCCGGCGCCGGCGCCGGCGCTGGGGAGGGAGTATTTTGAATCCCCCCCGCCCCTTGGGAGGGGGGGGGGTTCGGGACGGGGGGGGTTTAGGAGGGAGGGGAGTCCCCCTGGTTCTGATCGACGGCGCCGAGTGTGGCGGGGGAGGCCATCCCTTGGTTTGAAACGCGCCGCCGAATGTTCCCAAGGCGAGCGCCCGTGAAACGCGCTCTCTCGATCATCAGCCACGAGGGCCACCAGGCCCAAGCGGCACGCAGTCCACTCACCGCGATTCATCGTGACCCCCTCGCCGAGCGCCTGCCGACTGCCACTGGCGCTCCGCAGTGTGGCCACCAGGCCAGCACTCAAGCCAGTTCTAGTATCAACGATCGCCGACGACCATCTGTCTATTGCCCGATGACTTCTGTCGACCCTCCGCCGATCGCCGAAAAGACCGCCGACGACCGACTGTCGACTGCTCGACCTCCGACTACGACACCCGTACCACCACGCCACGAGGTACTCGGGCGACGAGTTCAAACCAGAAGCGTAACCTCATCAAGGCGGAGGCCACGAGGCCCCTCCGACGGCGAAGGTAACACCGCAGTGCGCCAGACCAGCGCGTCCCCCTCCGCAGATCTTCGCGGCTCAGGGCGACCGCCGCTCTCTCTCGGCCGTCGCGCCATTATATCGTTGGTATTTTGGGCGCTCAGGGCTTACTCGGTCCACTCAGCCCCGATCGCAGGAAGCAGACCCGTTCCCAGACCCGCGGGGGCGCCGGTCGAGGGACCTTCGCCTCAGGTTCTGAGCTCTGGCCTTGCGTTCCATGCTGCGCGCCCTGCTCGCACGACTGACCCTGGCATGCTGTGTTTGTTGCTCTCACTTCCTAGTCGACGCTCTCGGCGCCAGCCGTCCACGGCGCTGCGGGCGCGATTGTCAGGCTTACTTTTTGCTGCCCGTCGCTTCGCCACGGAAGCAGCCAACTCCTTCGGCCGACGCTCGACGTAGCTAGACTTTTTAACCAGCGCTGGGGACCGACGTGCACCGACGACAACGACACCGCTCGTTCCTTCAATCCGACGCTGTCCGAGAACTGGCTGTCGCCCCCAGGTTCCCGCTGCCCCTTGGCGCCGCTGCTGCATCCACTGCCCCTCTGCTACGCGCCACCAGGCAAGCCCTTATGCAGTTCGGGACCTGCTTCACGGTGTGAGGCACGCCTCGCAGCGGGAGGGTCTTTGGCTTGTCCAGGGGCTCGGCTTCCTTCGCATTGGGGCTGTATCATCTTTTCCGCAGTCAACCCCCAGCGGGGGGTGTAAACCCTCCTGCGCCGCGGGGTGGCACGGCCCTCGCACATCCCCTGCTCCTGCCTGGTCCCTTTGCTTCCGGGTCCTGGCGCCGTCGGCGGGGGGTCGGGCGGAGCCGGGGCGTCCGTGCTTGCACGGACGGTAGTGTTGGCCCTTTTGTTTGCTGACCCTTGTTGCCCTTGGTCTCAAGAGAGGAGGAGGCCCTTGCACCCCCGTGTGGGGTGGTGTCTCTGCCTCTGCCGCATGCGCTCACTTAACAATTGGCAACTGTTCCAGGGCCGTTGTTCTCAGGGCGGTGCGGGGGATGCCCCAAGGCGAACCCTTCGTCCATCATATCTAGGCGCGCATGCCAAAGCGTCTCTTGCAGACACGCGTGCGCAGACAGGTCCTTGAGTGGCCTGATCACCGCAGACCCGATCTTTTCATCCAGACGGGGTCAAAACGGACCGCGCCAGGGGGAGGTCATCCCACCACCCGTCTACGTACGCGGCGCTTCCCACTATGCGAAGAAGGTTTGCCTGGCACGTGCGGCCCAGGGGCCTGGACGACCAATCGTCCGAATTTTGTTTCGATCTCCTGCTCCTCTTCCTCCTCCGTCACTCCCCTCCCTCCCTCCCTCTCTCCCTCCCTCCCCCCCCCTCATCACTCCCTCCCTTCCTCCCCTCGCCGCCACGGCTCGACATGGCCCGTGTCGACTCGGAGGACGGGTTGGCGTGGTGCCCAGGAGGGCCCTGCGAACGGCTCTAAGTGGGCTTTGGCCAGGAGGCAAGGCACTCGAGCGAGAGAGCCGGGCAGACGGGCCCCATGCCAGGCGGGTCGGGTTGGCGGCGGGACATTCGAGTGGGCGAGCCGGCTTCTAAGCAAAGGAGCGGGCGGACTTTGACGGGTGGATAGTCGAAGCGGGCTGGGCGGGCTGGCGGACCCTGACGGGCAGGCCCCAGAACGGGTGGGCCGTGCGGGTGGGACATCGATCCGGTCAAGCGGCGAAGCAGTCCCAGGTGAGAGCACGGTTCGTGACTGGAGGGAGCGCGATCCCCTTGGTCCTATGCGAATGCGCGACCTCTGAGACATTTGCCAGGGAGGCCTGGAACAGAAAAGCCCGATCCTGAGCGACCACAGCGCGAGTCTGTGGCAGGTTGTCAGGAGGTCCCAGGCGAGAGCACGATTCCTGAAGAGGTTGTGTGCACTTCAGCCGAAAGAACAAACTCAGCACCCAACAGGGGCGATCAACAGCAGTGATCATCCCCCAAAAGTGCTAGATAGCTCAGCAACGCAACGACAATCCGCGCCGCGGAGCCCCACTTTCAGCCGCGCGCCCAGGGTCGGTATAAGATCGCTCGGCCCTCAGTCCGACGACAGTGTACGTTGCTCCATGCTTGCCGTTCGCGCGCCCGCAGTCCTTGGCCCCACTCCTGCCCTCCCCCTCCCACTCCCGTCTGGCAGGCCTGTCTCGACGGGGGCGCCCCCGGCCTGCACTTCTACACCCTGAACCTCGAGAAGGTCGTGGTGGGCACACTCGTGGGCCTGGGCCTCGTCACCGAGGAGCAGGCCAAGTGCTGCGCGGCGGGGGACGCGGACGCCAAGTTCATGGTGTCCGCACAGGGCATCACGACCGGCACCACGAGGGCCCAGCTGCCGGGCAACCGGCCCCTCGCCCAGGCGGACCCCGAGATGGACGCGCTCGTCAAGGCCGAGAAGGCCCGCCAGATGAAGTCCATCGAGCTGATCGCCTCGGAGAACTTCACGTCCAGGGCCGTCATGGAGTGCCTCGGCTCCGCCCTCACGAACAAGTACTCCGAGGGCCAGCCGGGGGCGCGGTACTACGGCGGCAACGAGGTCATCGACAAGGTCGAGAACCTCTGCAAGGCGCGCGCGCTGGCCGCCTTCGGCCTGGACGAGAGGCAGTGGGGCGTGAACGTGCAGCCCTACTCCGGCAGCCCGGCAAACTTCGCCGTGTACACCGCCCTGCTCAAACCCCACGACAGGGTCATGGGCCTCGACCTCCCCAGCGGCGGCCACCTCACCCACGGCTACTACACGGCCAAGAAGAAGATCTCCGCCACTTCAATCTATTTCGAGTCCCTCCCGTACAAGGTGCACCCAGTGACAGGCCTGATCGACTTCGATGCCCTGCGCCAGACAGCCCTGGTCTTCCGCCCAGCGATGATCCTGTGCGGTGCGTCGGCGTACCCAAGGGTTGTTGATTTCGCAAAGTTCAAGGAGATTGCCGACGAGGTTGGCGCCTACCTCATGGCCGACATCGCTCATATCTCTGGCCTTGTGGCGACTGGGCTGCATGTCAAGCCTTTCGAGTACTGCGACGTCGTCACGACGACCACGCACAAGTCCCTGCGGGGGCCGCGCGCGGGCATGATCTTCTTCAAGTATAGCGACCGTCTGCCCGACATCAAGGAGCGCATCGACATGGCCGTGTTCCCGGGCCTGCAGGGCGGGCCCCACAACCACCAGATCGGCGCGCTGGCGGTGCAGCTCCTCGAGGTGGCTACGCCGGAGTTCAAGGAATACTCGCAGAACGTTGTGACTAACGCGAACGCGCTCGCGGAGGCCCTCCAGGCCAAGGGGCACAAGCTGGCGAGCGACGGCACGGACAACCACCTGGTCCTGTGGGACCTGCGCCCGCACGGCCTCACCGGCTCCAAGGTGGAGAAGGTCTGCGAGTTGGCCTCTATCTCGCTGAACCGCAACGCCGTCCACGGCGACGCCTCCGCGCTGTCTCCGGGCGGCGTGCGCATCGGCTCCCCAGCGATGACGACCCGTGGCTGCAAGGTGGCGGAGTTCCAAAAGATCGCAGAGTTCTTGGACCGGTGTTGCCAGATCGCGCTGAAGGTGCAGACCGAGAAGGGCAAGAAGTTGAAGGACTTCGAGGCCGGCCTGGCCGGCAACGCCGACATCGTGGCGTTGAAGAAGGAGGCGGGAGCTCATTTTCGCGGCCGCGGGAGGAGAGGGAAGCAGGGCGGATGGGAAGGGGAGGGGAGGAGGGAGGAGGAAGGAGGGGGAAGAGGAGGCAGGAGGAGGAGGAGTGAGGAGGAGGAGGATAGGTCAGAGAGCGGGAGGACGAGGGAGGAGGAAGCGGGGGAAGGATGAGGGAGGAGGAGGAGGAGGAGGAGCAGGGAGAAGGAGGGAGGGGGAGGAGGAGGGATGAGGAGGGAGGAGGAGGAGCAGGGAGAAGGATGGAGGAGGAAGAGGAGGAGGAGGAGGAGATGGAAGAGAGGGGAAGAGGAGCGAGTGCACGGGGCTCTTCGGTACTCTCGGGACCCCGCGCTTGTTGTCTCGTCGGAGTGCGCACGAGCGCACCACTGGAGTCGGATCTTCAACATCTTTCAAGGCCCATTGATTGCGCACAAAGACCTCAGTCACGCGCAGAGGGGGGTTCGAGGAGGGGGAGGGCTTCTCAGAAGCACCCCTGCTTCTGAGAGGGGTGAGCCTTATCTATAGATGTGAGGCCGGCACCTTCTAAGAAGCAGCCTCCTTCTAAGCAGCCCTCCCCCCTCCCTCCACCCCCTTGTGCGCGCCGCCAAAGACCACTGCGTGTACCTTCGAGCAGCCCAGGGAAGCGTCCTGGCAGGTGCATCCGGGCGCCTCGGGAAGGCGTTTTGGTATGCACTGTCGGGCTGCTCAAGGGAGCGTCCTGACAGGTACGCTCAAGTGCACAGGGACGCGTCCTGGCAGGTACAACCCAGGCTGATGTAGGTAGGTGCTGGTCGCATCACTCGCAGCAATCGCTGGGAGAGGGAAGCCGCTAGGAGTGTCCACATCTTGGCCAGGCTGAGTGCCGAGCTCCACCTAGGACCTAGGTGTCAGAGACGTGGCCAGGACGCTGCGAGTTTATCGCCTGATCTGGAGTGCATCATGTCCTTTCGAAGGACAGAGGCTGGCGGGATCCACACGGCCTCCCCACCCTTGTGCCCCCAAGGGCTTGACGACTCTTGTTCCGGTCGATTGGCGAGGATCAAGCCATATAGTTCTCATTAAGTCGAGGTAAACCCAAATACATCTAAGTATATCCGCATGTAAAATTGTGTACATCCAGATATCCAGGTAAAGGTGGAACATATCCTGGAAGCTCTTGCGGGATTGGGCGGAGGGGGCGGGGAGGTGGGCCACCCGCCGCCGCCTCCGCACCTAGACGCGTCCCAGCGCGCAGACGGCGCGGAGGGGGGGCGCACGAGTTTCAGCTTGGTCTCGCGGCGAGCTGGCCGAATGATGGCATAAGTCCGACCACGCCATAGCTGTGGCTCGCGACGCTCATCGCCCCCAGGGGCGCGTGGTTGCCGCCGGGCGGCTCGTGGGAGCGCGCCTGGTTGCTGGGCGGCTCGCGGGTGGTCCTCTGGTGGGCTCCCTCGCCGACTCCTCGGCCTCCAGCGGCCGACCGCCGCAGGCAGTGCGACGGAGCCGGCGAAATCGCCGAGGTCCCCCCATCGGGGGCCTCCGGGCCCCCGTGTGCCACTCTCGGGCAGCACGCCCTGCAGGGGGCGGGGCAGGCGGGCCGCGGGAACGGGCGCCAGCCAGTGTGCCAGCTCGGGCCCGCCGAGGACGTGCTGGGAGCAGCGGCCGCCCGTGCCGAGGAGTGCGCGGAGGCTGCTGGAGATGCGCGTTGGGACCTCTGGCGTGCAGAGCCGTCCCCCGCCCTGCGCCGTCTTGGCTCGTCCGGCTCCTCCTCCCATCCCTCCCCGCTGCGCTGCTTATTCCCCATCCGCCGACGGGTGCCATAGCGGACATGGACCCCCGAAAGGACCCCGTCGTGGCAGAGTGGGAGGGCGGCCAGTTGCGACGACGACGGATCTCTCCCCCGGCTCAAGTCCGCTCAGAATCAGGCCCCGGACCCCTCCCAGGATCCATCTTGACCAGGCGTGCGTCGGCACGAATCCGGCCGCTGCGGCGCGAAGCCTCCAGGAGGCCCATGCAGGTGGACACGACACCTGGGACGGCCGCCGTCGCCTCGACCGGCCCTCCTCCGAGAGGAGGGGAGGGGAGCGAGGAGGGCAGGGCAGCCGGGGCAGGAGGGCATGCAGGGCATGCAGGGCAGGAGGAGAGGGAGGAGGAGAGGGCCGAGGTCACCGCGGCAGAGCCCGCGGCCCTCGGCACGCAGAGGGCGAGCATCTCCCGGTCGATCGGTCACCGCGCTCCCCGGCGCGGGCCCCTCGCCGCCTCGTCGGTCCTCGGCGGCTAGCCAGCCGATCGGGGTGCGGGTGCCCGGATCGCCCCCGAACGGCGGCCAGAGGCCCGAGTTATAACCCGAAGACCACTGGCAGAGGGGGCGGGACTGCTCGGAAGATCGTCGGATTCTGCTGGGTCCCGGCTCGAGAACTGCCAGCGCAGAAAAAAGGGCCCGGGGCGATGGTCGAGTTTTTGGGTGCGGCGTTGCGTCTTTGGCGTGGCGCCGGATCTCTCGGGGGGGGGCCCAGCCAGGGGGGGGCGCCAGGAGCCGAGGTCCGAGATCACCCGCGGGGGCGCGCCGTGCTTCGCGGAGCGCGGGGCGCGAAGTTAGGCGACCTTGGAGGTGTTGGGGGATCGAGGGTTTCGGGCGCCTCTCGCCGCGTGGGGGCCCTCCTGGGGCGTCACCGCCGCCGCGGCCGGGTTCCCCTCGAAGTTTGGCCAGGGCGCACCCCTGGATGGGTCCGGGGGTCGATCTTTTTACCCAATGGAGGCGGGCCTCCTCGGAAGGCTCAGGAGGCCTCCGGCCTGTGTGGGAAGCTTTCTCAGCCTTCTCCGAAGCCGTCAGGGGTTCGAGGAGGGCCTCCGGCCTGTGTGGGAAGCTTTCTGAGCCTTCTCCGAAGGCGCAAGGGGTTCGAGGAGGGCGCGAGGGGTTCTGAGAAGCCCCGCCGCCTCCTGAGAAGGCCTGCCCCCCCTCTCGGTTTCCCCCTGGGCGCGCCGCCAACAGGCCTCCTGGCGAGAATCGATCAGGAATCGCGCCGCCGGTCTTCTCTTCCGCTTTCGGCCCTGAGGGTGCCGTTGTGCCGCTCCCGAGCCCCGGGGGCCGTCAGAAGTCACCTCGGCATGGGGAAAGGGCAGCCCGGGGAGAGGGAGCGAGAATTCTGCAGGCGGCGACTCGAAGGAAGATCGGCTCGTCGGAGGGTGTCAGGGGCATTAGAGCAGGGGGGGCATAGGCTCGGGTGGGATGCATCGACCCCTATCGCCCAGTCGTCGTCGACAAGTGCCCGACAGCCCGCACCGCTCAGGAGCGTGCGGCTCCGCTATCGGGGGCCTGTCGTCGATCTATCCGCCATATATCGCCGATTCCAGCTCGATATCCCGCCCCCCTGAGCTTGTCCCCCCCGATCGTTGCCCCTCAGGGTGGGCGGGAGGGAAGGGATGCTCCTCCTCGTCTGGGCATTCGGAGGGAGGCCCTCGTCGCCACGGCCGTGTCCACCTCGGGGTCCCGGCCAGTGCGCGTTCACGGAGATGTCTGGGGTCGATTGGGAGAGCGGCGAGGGGAGAAGCAAGGTTCTCACCCCCGCGGGCGTTCCAACACCGAAACTTGACCTGTGGTTGTCTTGGCTCGCGCGCTGCACTGAACTTCAGGCGCGTGTGAGAATGCCGCGGCCTCTGTGGCCTCAGAAGAGGACCTACCCCAATGTTCGAAACGTGCGTCACAATGAGAAACCACGTGGTGGAAGTCGGATTCACCAAGTACGATGGGAGGGACGGGAAGAGAGGAGGAATGAGGGACGTCGACGGAGCGATGGATGTGGCGTGTGATCAGATGTACAGCACGATTTGGGCCACTGGGAAGCGATGTCGAGAGTCGAGAGGGTGATCCGCGGAGCCCGGCGTCTGCTGAGAAGCAGCGGCGGGCGATGGCACGCGCGCGTTTTCTCGTCGGCAGCCCGCTGCGGTGGCGTCAGCCTCCTCCCACCGGTTCCTCTCGCCCTCACCCGTCGTCTCTCTCTAGTTATTGGGCACTCCTCCTCCTCCGCAGCCTCCTCCTCCTCCTCCCACTCCTCCCACTCCTCCACGTCACTCTCCTCCGCGTCTCCACTTCGCTGTGAAGTTTCAGGATCTCCGACACGGGCACTTCTCTAACGCTGAGTCATCCAAATCCGTCGTCATCCTCCTGCTCTACGTCCTCCCCGCAATTCCCCCACCCGCCCGTCCTCGGAGTCCGCCACCCCCCCTCAGGTGGAGGCCTGGGCGAGCGGCTTCGGCTACCCTGGGTGGGCTCGGGGAGGGGTGTGCGCCTTGCTGCCGCGTCGGGCGCATGAATTCTCCCGCCAGGGTAGGGAGAGCATCCACCTCCTCCCTCCTCCTCCTCCTCCGCCTCCTCCTCTTTCTCCATTCCTGTCCCTTCTAGATAACTCCTCCCTGTCGCACCCCGAGGCCAGTCGAAAGGGCGGGCCCAGCGGTTCGATTTAGACTTCCTCACCATTTATGACCCTGATGTTTAATACACGGTAACAGCTTTACACATGGAGGACGGGTGGTTTCAAAATGTGGTTCTCTCTCGCCTAAGCGCCGCGCGCATTCGTTTTAACATATTGTAAGAGCTTCACGGATTGAGGGCGGGTGGTTTTCAAATTGTGGTTCTCACCTAAGCGCCGCGCGCATTTGTCTTAACAAGTTGGAAGGGTTTCACGGATTGAGAACGGATGGTGTTAAACATGTGGTTCTCGTTTCAGCTCCGCTTGCACTCACTTTCAAGGTTTGCAAACATTTCACGGATTGAGGACGGGTGGTTTTCAACATGTGGCGCTCGCCTCAGCACTGCGCGCATTCGTTTTCAAATATTGCAAACGTTTCACATGTTGAGGACGGTGTGGGAATGAGCGCCTCTAGCTCATTGATCGGGTGAGGAAAGTAGACCTCACCCTTTTCCCTGGACTTGAACCATATGATCGGGAATTGGGCCCCCTCCGTAACGATTTTGGCTCAAGGCCATACTTCTTCTACTCACTTGTTGTTAATCCTCCGTCGCTCACTACCCATTCCATTCCAAAGCCCATCCCTTCCTTCCTCCTACTACTACGAGTGCAAGATTGCTTGTGCAGCGCGATCGGAGATCGCACTGGGACTGAGACCGTGCTGACGGAGAAAAGGGGACACCTTGTCATCTGGAGATAACGTCGGTGGGGAGACAGTGGTAGCGGATCCTCCGCGGAGGCTCGGTTCTGCGGACCCGACGATGTCTCAGGAGCAGGGTGCTAATTCACCTCACAGCTCGGCCTCAGCAGGCCAGGGACCGATCGTTGCAGCCGTGGGAACAGCAAGACAATGGGCAGATGAGGATGGCCAGTTTCGCTTTTCGGAGGAGCAGTTAAGAGCGCTGCTGGATGGAGTTGCTACAGCGGCGAGGCCGGCACCACCAGAGGCGCCGCCACCTGCAAGGCCGGACCCGGCCACAGGAATATCGCCGCAGCAGCTGCAGAGGGTGATCATGATGGTGCGAGACCAGGTCCATGAGTCCAGCCGAGCAGGTCGGGCAACCGACGCCGCAGGCGAAGGACGGGCCAGTGGGGCAGCACCAGATCAATACGAAGATCCGTGGCAGCGTGGAGACCCCTGGAGCCAGAGGCGTGCCGGAGAGCGAGACGCTTCAGACGGCGTCGAGGACTACGCCGACCGGGGCGGCTGGTGGAAGTCCGGCGGGAGGGACAGCTGGGACGACGGCTGGAAGGGCGACTCCACATTGAAGGACTGGGGCGGCTGGGGCGAGCGGGGCAAGGGCTTCGCCGGCCCGGACGCCTGGAGCAGTTGGAACGAGTACAAACTATGGAGGCGCCAGCTTGTACGTTGGCGGCAGCTCACAGACATTCCCGCTCATAAGCATGCGGATCGCATTCTCGAAGTACTTCCTCGAGACCTCCAGAGGAAGATGGACGATTTATCGGACGAAGTTCTCACTTCCAACAACGTTGCCGACAAGATCATAGAGCGCCTGGACCTCCTGTCAGGCGAGAAGGTGGATGACGAGAAAAGGAAGGCCGGAAGAGAGTGTCTGTTCTCATTCCGACGACGGCAAGGAGAAGGACTCACCGAGTACGCCGCCCGCATCGACCTGGCATTCGACAAGGTGGCGACTCTAGGTCTTCCAGCCCCAGAGGACTGGAAGTTCATGTTCCTAGCAGACGGTGTCGGTCTCCACGAGAGAGGCCAGCAGTTAATGAGGGCCATGATGAAGACCCGCGATTCCTACTCTGAGGCTCTCGCCGCGATCAGGGAGATGGACGTCGCCCGGCGAGAGCACCGATCTTTCCAGAAGAGATCGCTCATGGCAGACAATAGTTTCCCCAAGGATGAGCCCACCTACTCCGTGCAGGCGGACGATCTCGATCTCGACTCCACCCTAGAGGACGACGACGTCTCTTCGTTGGAGACCGACGGCGAGCAGCAAGTCTACGTGATGCTGGAGGGTCTCGGCCTGCACCACGACGAGCTTCCACAAGCGTTTGCGACCATGCAGGAGGAGAGGCGCAAAACGTGGAAGCAGAACCGGGACCTCAAGCGCAAGATGAAGGTGGATCGCAAGTTCTTCGATCGCAGTAAGGACAAGCCAGAGCCGGCCCACAGGCAGCCGCGCGGACATCGCGCTGCCAATGGGCAGGTCAGACCGAGGAAATCACGTCTTCCACTGTCAGAGCTGATCAAGAGGACGAGGTGCAGAAATTGCAATCAGAAGGGTCATTGGTCTCGTGAATGTCCGGCGAGGAATGGCCACGGTGCAACCGCAGCAGCCGCCGCGCATGTCAATGCCTACGTCTATGCGAACATCCTTGACCCGACCCAGAGCCACGACCCGGACTTCGACAGCGCCACCGTCACCCTCATGAGCGTTGACCCAGGCGAGATGCTCGTCGATGCCGCAGCGGGTCAAGGACTGATTGGTATGCCTGCTTTGAAGCGGCACTGCGAGCTCCTGAGTAAGCGAGGCTTGCGAGTGCCCCAGGTGCCCCCCCGAAATCGTTCGGCCCGCGGGATCGGGGGGGGGCACGACAGTCTTGAGCACTGCTCTGATCCCCACGTGCATCCAAGGGAAGATGGGGGTCATCGAGTTGGACGTCCTCAAAGAGGACGTGCCACCCCTCCTCCCAGTAGGGTTTCAGGAGATGCTATGAGCGAGTGTCGACCTAAGCACGAATCAGATCGAACTCAAGCGTCTGGGGGTAAAGGCTGACATGCGTCGGCTTCCCACCGGACATCGCACTATGCGCTTAGACGATTTCGGAATGCCCACTCCGGGAGCAGTTTTCAAGTGCCCCCCCTCGGTGCTGAGCCAGCATCCGGAGGTCAAGGGGCAAGATTTCAGGAGCGAGACGATGTCCAGGTATATCATCGTCTCCCCGCCATCGTCCTCTGGGCCTGGGTCAGGCTCGATTCCTCCTCCGCGAAAACCCCAGGGGGCCGCGCGTCCAGGACAGCTGGCCGACTCGGGGCCCCGGGAAGGCGCGGGAACTCGAGAGGCCCCAGAGGGCCAAGACACGAACTCCCAGGAACGCAGATCGCAGCTCACACAGCCTAGCGTCCTCCCGGATCGAACTAAGGATAGCAGAGCGGCGCTTAGGAAAACCGAAGGAGAAGAACGGGTACGACGGCAGGGGCGACCTGGAAGGCGAGAGGCTTGTGAATTTCGGTCGTTTCGGAGACGAGAGACGTCCAGAACCAAGCAGCCGTTCATCTGGATCATCGCGTTCGTCATCACGCAGCGGCTGGGCTCGAGCATTCGAGCCACCAGCTATCTCAGCGAGCCCGACGGGAACGTTTCCCAGAGACTCTATCGTCACGTCGGGTTCGGCAGTGCACCCGTGAGACGGAGCCATGCCGCCGCCGGGCGTGAACTCAGTCAATGGCCCCCGAGGCTCCTCCACCTCCAAGGGCAAGAAGAAGGAGCAGACCGAGGCGCAGCGCCGGGCCAACCGTCCAACGACGATGGGCGAACAGCTGGGCGATCACCAGCAGTGGACCTACGCGGCCACCGGAGCGCCAGTTCTACAGTCCATGAGCCGCGGCCAGAGGTCATGGGCGGCTGCGGTGGGAGCCATGGTATTCTGGCTCTCCAAGCTAGCCGACGAGTTCGGCAGGATGATGATCAATCGACGCTTCTGGCCGACGAATCTCGTCAAGCGCATGCGGGTGATCCCGCCGCAGTTCTACACGTGCCGCCGCATGCCCATCCACGTGGAGTTTGGCAGCAATGGGCATGGGCGTTGGTGGGTGTGTGGGCCGTGCACCATGCGAGTCGCCTACCAGGACACCAAGCCAGACAAGTCCACGCCCAAGAAGGAGATGACCTGCGCGTGCAAGCGCCAGACGGCCACTTGCTCGCTGCGTGGAAAGGGCTTCGCCCAGCTGGGCGGAGCCGATCCAGAGTGGCAGGCATTAGTGGCAGCCCCAGCTCCTCCGCCAGGGGTACCAACGGCGAGAACGTCGGCAGGAACGGTGCCGCCCTGGCCAGCATCGGTCGACGCTCAGGCGGCTGGAACACCCTATCAACAGGTCGAGGCGGAGCAGCCCGACGTAATCATGCACGACGTGGAGGAGCAGGCCAAGGAGCAGAGGGCCCAGCGTCGCCGACAGGCGGCGCCCTCTCCAGCCAAGAGAGCGGCGATGGAGCCCTCGGCCAGCTCGGACGACGGCGGCGACGAGACCGTGCGCCTCCTGCAGCAGATGGCCAACAAGCAGAATCAGCCGGAGTCCTCCATCAACCAGCTCTGCGCGACGGTGTCGGGCCAGATGGAGGCTGTCGCGACGCTCCAGTCGAAGCTCCAGCAGCTCTCGGCGCCTTCGTCGACGGCGCGGGTTCTGACCGGACCCGCCGCAACGAAGTCACCGCCTCCACTGGTGGCGCGAGAGCCGGTCCCCAAGGCGCCCCAGGGGCCGGTGCCCAAGGCGCCGCAGGCAACAGGTTGGAAAAGCGAGGCAGAAGTGTCGACCCCAGAGGCAAGTGCGAGTGTGAAACACGTGGAGCTGGGGCAGGGGCCAGCCACAGTCAGACCACCGCCAGCGCCGGCGGGAGCGGAGCATCACAGCATCGCCACTCCTCCGGCACTTCAGCAGCCCCCGCCGCTGCAGACGCCGCCTCACGGAGTCTCGATCGCGGCTATGCCCTCTCCGAGGTGTGGAACTCCGTCGGCGGCCGCAGCTGCGACTCAGGAGGGGGGCTGGGGCTTTGTCGGCACGGCCCCAGTGGTGAGCGCCTACCGGTCGCACGGCGCCGGCACGG